GTGTACCGAAAAAATACCGCATTTTTTTTCCTCCAGGAAATTCAAACAATAAATGGCGTTTTGACAGTCTTTGATGTGGCATGACAGATCGCTGTATAAACGCCTCAGAGAGCCGCTTCTGGGACGGTTCAGAAACGTGCTGGTGTAAACCCAACACAAGCATTGACTCGAGCAGCCGCGATCAGCTCCGGTTCCCGTGTCTGAGCCGTAACGTGCCGCAGACTTGTGCAGTGTAAATGGCAGAGCAGAGCGCGAGTGAGCATAATCTGTTATGAAACATGTTATGACAGCCACTGTGCAACTGAATATATTTTAACAAATAAAAATTTTATTATTTATAAGTTAATTTAAAAACTGCATTATGTGCAATTCACATGTTTGCATACATGTTTTTAGTGTTGATTATTACATTTAAAAATAAATAGTAATTAAATTAAAGTTTGGGTTAAGTTGTTAATTGTAACCTTATAATGTAGAAAGGGCTCCCTATAGTTTAAAGCATAAGCTGAGGTAGATTTTTATCATTAAGAACATTTTAATTATAACTGAATGTATTTAAAGAAAGAACAACTTGTTCAGTAAACCACTGTTTATAAAAAAAAAAAAAAGTTTAGTTTTTCCCCCTGCTGTACCGAAATCATACTGAACTGTGACGTTAAAACCGAGGTACGTACCGAACTGTCAAATTTGTGTACCGTTACATCCCTATTATATATGTATATGTATAAAACAATAATATTACAGCGTACTTTTTAAGATCCAATTAAAATCAATAAAATCAAGTCCCACCTACATTTGATTTAATTTCACTTAAAGTCCCCAGTGGATTTATTGATTTATTTACTGTATATTGCTGCTGCCACATAGATCTAAAATAAACATGTGATTTATTTCCCAGCTGTTTACCTTCACCGACATAACCGACTGTTTTTGTAACTCATTCTGGGGACACCAGAGACTTTTATTACATATTGTAAAAAGGGGCATAATATGTCTCCTTTAATATTGTTTCATTCAGAAATACATCACATTACAAAAATTGATGTATATATAAATAAATAAATAAATAAATAAATATTTTACTTAACGTTTCATTCAGAAATACATCACATTACAAAAACTAACATTTTAATTTGTTAAGTAGACAGAAAGAAAGAAAGAAAGAAAGAAAGATATAAAAAAAGAAAACAGAGAAAAAGAAAAAGAAAGAGAAAAGAGGAAGAGAGAAAATAAAAGAAAGGAAGGAGCAAGAAAGAAACATGGGATCTTTAAGAAGTAAAAGAAGTTTTCATTTTTCCAGTCATTTGAATGTATTTTCTGCTGTCAGAAGTGGTTGATACCAAAAATACAGCAGTTCAACTGGATTAACAATAAATGTTATCATGGTATTTTGGCAGAAAGTGTGGTTGCCCTGGGAAATGTCCCAAACTGAGCGGCTCTCACAATGTGAGCGGACTGCTAAAGCCAAGCTCAGAGTGAGACAAACGCTGGAGCAGCTGTCAGGAGGAGGCCAGATGTGCTGGAATATGATTCGTCAGGACGCTCTGTCTCTTCATTCTGCTGAGCTTTCAAACCCTGACCTGAGCGACAGCAGCGTCTGGCAACCTCCTCAACATCTGCACAGCCTGATACAGCTGCTAAAAACACTATTCATAGAACCAAACCTAAACGTGACTCTGTGTGTGTGTGTTTTGTTGTCAAGCTGAACAGACAACACAGCTGAAGAGATCAGCAGATGTCAATAATAAACACACACTGCTGATGGCCAACGATGCACATTCTTAAGGAAGAAAAAAAAAAATTGAACTTAAAGCCCTAAAAATCTAACTAAACCTATGCATCTGTACATACACTTATGGCTGAGGGTTAAGTGTGTAACCCCCCACCCCACCCCACCCCACCACCACACACACACAAAAAAAAATCTGCTTCACTCAAGAAAATCTATTCTCATTCTGTAAAATAAAGAAATAATATTGGTTTAATTGATTTCAAATACATAACACAATAAAAACAATACATACAATTATTTAATAATAAGTACATTGATTTATAATAAATAAATTGCTTTAAAATTAAAATAAAAAATTACAATAAATAAAAATAAATTGACTTAAATATTTAAAATATCTGGATTTAAATTAATAAAAAAGTAAATAGATTTAAAATACATTTAAATTTTTTTATTAAATTTAAAATAAATTTTAAATATATTAAATTAAAAAGATTATTAATAACTCAAATAGACTAATTCTATTGATTTATTTGATTTTACAAAATAAAATAATGTTAAATAAAGAAATACATTTAAAAAATAAAAATAGATTTAAAACAAAATAAATAAATACATTCTATTGGTTTAATTTATTTAAAATACATAAAACAATAAAAAAAACAAATATATAAACTGATAAAAATACATTATTTTAAATAAATTAAAATAATAAACAAACAAATTGATTATATTGATTTTAATAATAAATGCATTGATTTATAATAAATAAATTGCTTTCAAATAAAAACCTTGACTTGATAAATATTTAAAATAAATGGATTTAAAAATAAATAGAAGTAAATATATTTAAAATACATTTTTTAAATTTAATTAAATTTAAAATTAAAAATGAAATAAAAAACACTGAGAAAGTAAGTAAATAAATAAAGTCACTAGGTAAGATTTTTTCCCCCCCTTTTTTTTGGATGTTCATAGAAGACATTCAGATATTTAGGGCGCAGTGCTTACATGTATGATATCCTTGAACAACTATATATTGTGATTTGTTATTTTATTATGAATGTGGTATCAGATTTCAGATACACCTATCCCTAAACGTGCGGTTGTTCATCTTACATGCGACTCAGGCAGTCTCCTTCCTGCTGAAGTGGTCAGTATTTGCTCAGAATAAGCGATCACTGGTTTATGGTGACTCACCGTCTCATCAGTCGAGCAGGTCGCCAGCAGATAGTCGTCAAACGGCGAGAAGTCCAGGTCGGTCACGAGGTCTGGGACGGGAAGAGAAAGAGAACTAGGACAAACTCATATGGGTCGCATGCATTCGGGTTTATTTTTAGTGAACTGTGAGTCCGTGACATTGGCCTGACGCAGCGGGACACTGCTTTTATTTGCTCTGAGCATCCTCACGGACATCCGTTTTTGCTCCAAATGAAGTGAAATGAGCCAAGTGTAATTGTTAATATCTCACCAGCATGGCATGAAATCTGGGTCACGATCCACTTCCCGTCAGAAGCGGCGTTCACAGAAGACAGACCAACCATCCCACCTCCTCCAGAGACACAACAGACACGGTTACAAACGCAAAACAGACCGCTTCTCCTGGTGTTTAATCTAGAGGTCGACCGATTAATCGGCCGATTTTTGGAATTTTTTAATTAATCGGCATTTGCCGATTGTGCTGCAAATTAGGCCGATTTATAGGCAGGCGCTTCACGTTTCAAAATTAAAATGCAGCGCGGGTGTTTTTATATGAATGTATCTTTGAAAAGAACCGACCGTCTTCAGAAAAGCTTCGATGTCATTTTAATTTCGTCTTTCCTGTAATGCCTGATAAAGTAGCGTTTGTGAGCACAGCGCTTATTTGATTACAGCCGTTACCGGGGAAACCGCTATATCTCCGCTCCAACAGCACCTCCTGCTGGCGTAGAATTAATTTGCAGTCTGTGGGAAACACTGGTGTCTGTCAGCAAACATAAACAAAAAGCATCCTTCAGAACTGTTTTGAGAAGGTGCTTAAGTTTTGAGCCATGTATTATTACTCTAAATTGGGCACTAATACTATTACTATCTTGTACCCTGCAATAATCATTTGCTCAAACTCACTTTTATGAGATGAATGGAAAAAAAAAAAGAAAATCGACCAAACATATCGGCACAAAAAAAAAATCGGCATCATATATCGCCCATTGGCTGCCCTGATTTCTAAATATCGGCATCGGCCAGTGAAAAACCCATATCGGTCGACCTCTAGTTTAATCTGATGTGTGAATGAGGTTCATACCAGCCTGATCTGTGTTGAAGGCCACGAGGCTGCAGCTGGACTTGATGTGCTTGCCCTGAGAAGAGAAGGAACCTCCTCGCACGTTTGCAATCCAGCCCTGCGCAGAAACACAGGAGTATCGGTAAGTCAATGGGATCTTAAAATGAAGACAAAAATCTCTGCAGGAAAACATGAATATGATGAGAAATATTCAACATGTCTTCATTACAGCACAGACAAATCTACATGCGTCATCTCTAAACATCTCAAGTCACTAAATAATAAAATCAGAAAAATGTCAAAATCATTTGAAAATAAAAACGCTAAAAATTAATGGCATAAAAATGTCAAATTAAGACACTTTAAAATACATTTTCTAAAAATTAAAATTATAAAAATTTAATAATTTTAAAATAAAAACATAAAATAAGTCATATTTTTAAAATGACTTATGTTATGTCTTTATTTTTAAATTATTTAATTTAATTTGCCATTTTTATCATTTTAATACACTTATTAAAAATCGAAATCATAAAATGTTAAATTAAAAATAAATGTCATTTTAAAGTAAAAACTTGCTAAAAATTTAAATCATAAAAAAGGACATTTAAAATCAATTTAAAAATAAAAACAATTATTTTTAAATAAACTTACTAACAATATAAAAAGAATAAATGTACAATTAAAATCTGTTAATAAATTAAAACCTACTAAAAATAATATTTTTTATGTAAAACTAAAATAAGTCATTTTAAAACAATAATAAAAATATCACAAATGAAATAAAAAGGATAATGTAAAATTGAAATGATTAATTTTACAATGAAGCCTTACTAAAAATAACAAAAATATAAAAATGTAGAATTGAAATGAGTAATAGTTTAAAATAATTAAAACATAACACTAGAATTAAAGCATAAAATTAAAATAAATAACTAATTTTAACTAATTCTTTGCTAACAAAAGAACAACGTTGTTATTGTTCTAACTAAAACTATTAAAAATAGTTAACTGAGACAAATGTGAAATGTTTGAGTTCTAAAACTACTAAAATAAAAAAAAATATATATATATTAAAGCTAAATAGACAAATTTAACAAAAAAAACTAATAAAGATGCTGAAATGTACAACAAAATTATTAAACAGCACAGAGAATATGCATTTGAAACCCTAAACCTGAAATCCAGAGCCAAACCCTCCGAAACAAAGCACCTGGAGCAAAGCGTTTTCACCTGCTGAACGATAAGACGGCAAAAACAACGTTTGGAATGATTAAGATTTATTTTTTTAGATTTTTATTTATGCTTTTGAAAGAAGTCTCTTCTGCTCACCAAGGCTGCATTTATGTGTTCAAAAATACAGTAAAAACACAGTAATGTTGTGAAATATTTGGACTTTCTATTTGAATATCTTTTCATTTATTCCTGTGATGTAAAGCTGAATTGTCAGCATCATTACTCCAGTCCTCAGTGTCACATGATCCTTCAGAAATCATTCTGATATTTACTGCTCAAGAAACATTATTATTATCAATGTTGAAAACAGCTGTGCTGCCTATAATTTTTGTGGAAACCACCGAAATATCTTTTTTTTTTCAGGTTCAAAAGAACAGCAATTATTTGAAAACGAAATTTTTGTAATATTATAAATGTCTTTACTGTCACTTTTGATCAATTTAGTGCATCCTTGCTATGTAAAAAAATAATATATTGCCAAAAAAACTCTCCATCCTACCCTGATCTCACGTTATGCTTACGGCAGCATCGGTCAGCTTTTTACATCCAGACACTCAGCTAAACTTCTGTACCACAAACTGACATTTAATGTCATTACACACATGACAACAAGAAACAAGATCTGAGCCTGTAAAAACCAGAATCACTGCAGAGCACTCCATCTGATTTTAATACGCAAAGTTGTAGTTTTATCACCCAAAAACTATGCAGCCAGGTGAAAAAGAGCCAAGATAACAAACCAATGTGCAGAAGGGCTCCGAATTAAATTGTTAAATCAATTAATAATTATATAAACCAAAAGTCAAATGTTCTGATTTACTGTCAAACAATTAAAACAAGAAATAATTAACAAATTAATCATTAAAGGTGCTGTATGTAGGATTGACACCGAGTGGTTGAACTAGGTAATGCAGTCCAAATTCAAAATATTGGAGAGGGGTTTTTCACCCGGCCCCTCCTCCTCAGACTTGAGGCACACGCAGGTTGCCAGATTGACGACACCAACACTTTCGTTTGCCAGCTTCCAAGACTGAAATGAAATACGCTGTGTTTCCCACCAACTGGCAACCCGGGGTGCCGAAATACAATTGGGTAAACTGGCAATGGGCGGGTTTCACAAACCAAAACAGAGACCGACATTCCGGCCGGAACGCACATTTTCAAAGGAGAATAACTTGACTGTAGCATTGTTTTTCAGATAAACAA